CTATTTATAAGAACAGCCAACATTCCCACTATCATGATTATTGATTGAAAGACATCCGTCCATATAACAGCCTTCATTTTATTCCTAATATGTATAATGAACCTCAATCAATTGTATATAACATAATACAAACGCAAAACACTCACAACCGCCGTGTAAAACGTGCAAGTTGCGCTTGTAATAGCAATAGTAGTGGTGTCACTGCACTCAATGCAAGAGATGGCACATACACAGTGATGCCAAGGTAAAAAATCTAAAATAAAACATTGTTATTGTTCATCCACTGAACAACTGGATATGGAATTTAAATGGTATTCATATTCTGCATCATGTATGTAAAGATATGTTTTGAATATTTCCTTATACTTATACCTTAAAAATAGCAATGCACGACCTATGAGTTATTTTCTTTCGCCATTAAATTTGTACGTTTAAAATCTGTTTCATTCAAAATCAGAACCTATTATTTGTCATCGACAATAAGAAGCGGCTGCTTTTTGAGCCGATACTAAGAATACAAGTCTTTCTACACTTGCGTATATAACAATTTTTATCCCTCATGTTGATGTCATTAAAAGTTCAAATGAATCCTACCGTATTGATAAGTTCAAGAAAAGAAGTTACAATCCGTATTTTCCGATGAAATCTAAGCTTAAAATACTAAAAAAATATTACAGTAACAAAACAATTGTAGTAATTTGCGTGTTAAAAAGTAAAAAAAAAAAAACTGAAATTTGACTAAACGAGATTCACCTCAAATACGCTGTTCAAACATTTTGGCAATTCCGTTGAAAGCTAGAACTGCTACAGCCCACCAAGTATATGCCGTACCAAACAAATAAATTTCACTAGGAGTTTCAATTACTGTAATGGCAGAGATAATTGATACTGCAATCGAAGTTGCTACTGGGAACTGAAATTAAAAGTTTTTCAATATATTAATGAGATATGAGGATATGTACACGTGTATTTCATCAAATACCTATAGTAATATATATTATACAGCATTCATGAAAATTCATACTTCCATAATAATATTCTATCACAATAATATACAATGAAATAATAATATCGATATACTAGTGATACAATTGAATCCGATGTAGGTTTGATTTTCATATCCTGTATATGGCACCAAGCTTAGTATGTAACGATATCGTGTCACCGTGTACTAACAAATATCGTATGGTATATAAAATATTTTCTCTTGTTATCTTCAAGCATGGCTTCCGGGCCGTTTATGTGTACACAAGTGGTTATGAAGTATTCATTGCGCATTATTTACATTTTGGATGGAGAATTTGATCGTTCCATTAAATCATTATCGCATTTTCAAACTATCGTAAATTTGGAAGGTATGAAAAAAATAAATAAATGATAAATATTTTGGAATTTAGCAAGACACAAATATACACGGGATAAGCGACAATTAAATTTTGATCTACTTGGTATATAAATACGTATTTTGTTATTCCTATATTTTCACACTCTGCCGTTGGACACGTAGTGGACATAACGATCGTTTTGTTGTTTTTGTTCATTGACACGTTTTGAAGAAATCGCTTTTCTCTTTGATAACTGGACCAATTGCTTTGAAATTTTCAGTGGTTTAAGATAGAATTTTTCTCCAGAAGGCTAATACTATTATTTATTTCAAAATCCTCTATGGACAAGAGATTCGTTTTTTGTATGCGAATTGGTGATCACAATGAAAAATAGCGGCACCTTGTGGCGATTGCGGCGAAGAAGTGAACGTGATTCTTGCTCGCTAAGAGCATAGTTCACTGAATATAGTTCGCTCACGGCCGGTTCGCTACGCATGAGTGATCCGTTAATACGTCATCAGTTTGCTATATCTTCAAGCTTACGCAAGAGGATTTCCGTTCGAATTTATTTGCGTATTTGGAAGTTTTATTTTCGGTTGAAATAAATGAAAATATATACTGAGACATAGGATAAAGTGCGGGAGGCATCTGCCAGTCATCTCTGCATCGGTGCCATAAGTTATTAAAGTGAAGTAGGGGCAGAGTAATTCTTCATGTTCTGTGATTGTTTTTATTGGATAGTAATCAATAGTAATTTCCGATTGCAACAATCTTAATTTTGGAATAGTGAAACATTCTTTATTTTAAATTAAATGACTTTTCGGATTCTCCCGGAAAATGATGAGTAGCCTACCCAACGTTAGATGATAAAACAATATTTGCGATTTATTTAGTTCAAATTTAACTTTTCACTACACCCGGTTTCCAAAAATACGAAGTTATAAGGCAAAACGATGCGTTTTGTTACATTTATTTTGCGCTCCCAATAAAATACATATATCTTGGATTTCGAGTCGCTGATAAATCCGTTCCTATCGCCCAAGCGCGACACACGCCTGGTCGAGTGCCATATGGATAAGCCGTCTTATCGGCTTCCTCTCCCCCGGGTTAAATATGTAAATCCTATCCTATCCTAAATTAGCGACACATTTGTTCAGGTATATTAGCGAGAGGATAATAGCCGCTCAGTAAACAAAAAAAGGTCGAAGCATAGAAAAATTGAATTTTTACCAAACATCAAACTTTACACCTTGCGGGAACAATAACTGTAACAAAGTATACATTGCACAAAATTGTTATGCAACCATCCTTATGCTAAAAAGTCACAGCCTCAAAATTGAACAAATGTTCCGTGTTGCAGAGGCCAAATTTATGCAGAGTTTCCGAGCCGATCGATGGAACAATGGACATCAACGCATCTGAAGCGTGGTGTAACGTTAAAAACAACTTAACTGTCCTACTTCACTGATTCCAATAATTCAAACCCGCCACTCAGGCAACGACCTTACCTCGAAATAATGGTCAACCGATAATATGCACCATAAAATGTGACCGCGCTGAAATAAGAAGAAATTTGACGTTGGGCTATCTTTATAGCTACCGTATTTCCCGGCGAATAAGTCTACCCGGTAAATCAGACGAGGCCCGTTTTTGCGCCTGAAATAATGGGTTTCTGGATTTAACCTGCCAATAAGTCGGGGAAGTAAAATCGAGTCAACATCGGAATCACATAATACCATGCAATGCCTTTTGAGCGGTCGCCGCATTTGTGCATTGATTGAAATAGCCTATAATGACGTGTTCTTGTAGCGTAATATTCAATCCATAATATTTACGGGAATTCAAAATGTCTTTAAATTGTAATCTAATTGTGTTCAACTCGCGATTGCGTCCACCATAAAAGAACATTACCTAATACATAATAAGGCGACACCAAAAAAATGAAAATTACCATACTCGCCTAATAAGACGCCCCCCCCCCCCCCCCCCCCCCCAAAAAAAAAAAAAAAATAATCAGGCCAAAACTTTGGGTCTAGAAAAGCGACTTATTCGCCGGGAAATACGGTAATTAAAATTAAACTGTGGAATCAACTCGATGAACAACGGAACACCATGAATTTGATGAAAATGCATGTGATTGATGATGCTGTTATTAATGTATATACTTATTTTCATATTTGGGCGCTCCCGAAGTATGCGCACCAAGATGGCGCAAAACCTGAACCCTAACCTGGTACACATATTATGTCAGGTTGTGCGCCATCTTGGTGCACATACTTCTGGAGCTCCCATATTTGTACATAAATGTGTCCCTTATTTATCATCTTATTTATTATTTAATTATTGAAGATTCCACTTTGTAGGAACCATAGAAAAAAAACGAGAGAAATCTGCTTGAGTTGGGAAACTTATGTGTAATAACTGCGCCTCTCCAGTCCGGCGTTGTACAATCTTCAGGAGTTCCCAACCTTTTTATCTCAATTTCCCACTTCCGATTAGGCTGAGTTGGTATTTCCCATTACATATGAACTTGTTTAAAAAGACTAATTTTCCTGACAATAATAATTGGTATGACTTTCTATAATAAAGGCTTGCAATTGGTGTAGAGGTTGAAACCCCGTGAAAACATTTCTTCCGCCGTCTAGCATCCCAAGACAGTGACGATCCGTGTAAAGAAAATCAGTGTTATCCATCGAATAGAACAATTCAACGCTTAAAATTACAAAAAACTCATCAAAGTTTACATTACACTACACCGTCTATATCAATTCTGCTGTTTTTTATATGTGGTAGACCGGAAGTCTGAAGAATCTATTTTTGAAAATGCGCATTGCTATTGGACAAGGAGATTCGTTCTTCTTTGGCGCCGCAGACTCACTCGGCAGAATACAGTATCATCACACTCCACGAAACAAAGTTTCATTTATGTCCCACCGATGTTATGGAACTTTTGGTTCTTGCTATTCAAGGACATCTACAAATGACGCAGTCAATATCACATTTGAACTCATTTGAAATTGCCCATGTTGTCGAATCTTATCCTGCTTTTAGTTTGCACAATTTTTTCAGCAAACTGATAAGCAAATGAATATTTGAAATATGTTGCCTCATTTCATGGGGTTACATAGAACCATTGGAGATATTCTTAGTGCATAGAAACGCATTGCGGCAGGTGCTCAAAAATTTTCGTTAAAAACATGAAACGTAGCCGAGATGACTATGATCGTACTTTATTTTTACATAAGCCATTATCTTTTATTAACAATTTAGCAGAATGGAGGAACGGGTCAAATATTTGTTCATCAGAGCGCGTGCCTACCCAATACTTCTGAGACATTTGAATAAAAACTGTTCTCTTTTGCGCCTCTGCAACGAAAATCTTCTTGCGTATTGTTCAAAGCATTGGTGCTCGTTCAAGACATGCCTGTGAGGTTGTTATTGTTATCGGCCAACCAAAGATCAAAATGAGTTGCGTAGTACGATCAGAATATCATGCCCAACATCGTGATATTTTACTAAAGTTTTGATTAATTGAATAGGAATTTTTTTTCGCTTCATGGCATATGTTGTGATTTTCATTGTGTAATATTTAATAATTGTGTTGCTGTGCGTACATTTTTAGAGGAGCCATAATTTTCCTACCTTCAACCTCCAAATTCCCCACTAGAGGGAAATTTCCCACCGGTTGGGAACCACTGCTAGCTACTGCAACAGTCTTCGAATATATTATACCGTAACTTAGCGCGATGGTATTCAATCTGAAGCCTAGGCGTCAGTCAAACCGACGATCAAAGAGACAATATTATAGATATGATTTCCGAGCAATCAACGAACAACAAGTAAGTTCACAATTGAAATCATCCGGTACCGTACCGGTACCAGCAGAACACGCTTTCATTAGTACCATGTGTCTGCGGCCTCGTGTAGTTTCGTACCGGTACCGGTACCAAACGTACCGGTAGTACTTCCAGTGAGCGTACCATAACAATTTTTGGGTCTGGTATAGTTTAGTACCACATGCACTTCTACTTGGCCCGGCGCAACAATTTTTGCATATGTCTGTATGTCAATCCAAACCCCCACCTGCTAGACCCCAATTTTTCACGTGTCAATCCAAACCCCCACCTGCAGACCTGCTAGACCCCAATTTTTCACGTGTCAATCCTAAACCCCACCTGCAGACTTGACTACGGTATGCCATCTAAAAATTACGTCACCACGACTTCAAAATCACGTCATAGAGCTTGCCAAAGTATACGTACAGACATAGGATCACCCGAAATGGCATCTAAGCCGATGATAAAGAACTCACTAACTTAGCTTTCAACTTTTAGGTGATCGTCTGCGTGTCTTGGATGGCAGTTCGTATAGTTTGAAGGGCTCTATTACTGTATTACGTCACTGAATCTTTTGATGATGCAGTCAGGTGTGGGTTAGGATTAACATATGCAAAAATTGGGTCTCATGTAGTTTCGTACCTAACATACTTCTAGTGGGCGTAGCATGACAATTTTTTCACGTATCAATCCTAACCCCCACCTGACTACACCATCTAAAAATTACGCATTACGACGTCACAGTGACGTAATAGAGCCCTTCAAACTATACGAACTGCCACCCTAGACGCGCAAACGAGCACTCGAACTCGAACAGTTATTTCTCTCGTTTTCTCGTCGCAACGATTCCAATAGGAGAGAGATCGAAAACGTCCGTCAGTTCTTTATCGTCGGCGCCAATGCCATTTCGGGCGATCGTACGTATATTTGGCAAGCTCGATGATGTCATTGTGATGTCGTAGTGATGTAATTTTTGGATGGCGTAGTCAGATGGGGGTTAGGATTGACATATCAAAAAATTGTTATGCTACGCCCACCAGAAGTACAATAGGTACGAAACTATACGAGACCCCAAAAATTGTTATGCTACGCCCACTGAAAGTATTTTAGGTACGAAACTAAACTAGACCCGCGCCGGTGCATATTCACTAAATGACGTAAGTACTTTATTTGGCGGGGCACACCTGTATTTGCATATGTTATTCCTAACCCCACCTGGATCTGTCATCCAAAGATTATGTCATTACGACATCACAATCGCGTCCAAGAGCTTGCCAAAGTATGCCTACGATCACCCGAAATGCCATCTGCGCCAATGATAACGAACTCACTAGCGCCAGCGATATCTCTCATATTGGGATCGTTGAGACAAGAAAATAAGAGAAATATCTTGCTCGATTTTTGCACATGTCAATTCTAACCCCAACCTGTCTATGCCATCAAAAACTTTGTCACTTTGACATCACAATCACGTCATTAAGCTTGCCAAAGTATACCTACGATCGCCTGAAATGGCATCTGCTCTGACGATAAAGAACTTACTAACGACAGCGATCTCTCTCATATCTGGATCTTTGCGACGCGCAAACCAGAGAAATAGCTTGCTCGATTAAGGGGGATCATTTGGGCGTCTTGGATGACAGTTCGTATAGTCTGAATGGCCTTATTACTTCACTGTGACGTCGTAATGACGCAATTTTTGAATGACATAAGGTAGTTAGATGGGGGTTAGGAATAAAATGCCAACTAGAAGTACTTACGTCGTGTTGTGAACATGGCTTACACCAGTATCTTGGAAATACCTGACCCCAACTTATGAAAAATGATATTATTATTAAAGTATTGGGTTTTTTTAATTGATTCAGGTAGAAGATATAACTCTTGAATTTTTCTACAAACCACATTCCATCACTCTACTTCTTGTTCTTGTTATTGCTTTTTTGTATATTGGATTAACTAGGTAAGTAATACTGATTACCTGTTATTATTATTTTCAAATAGTTTTTTTTATGCTTGGATTCAGTGTGTTGGATTTGGAACCCAAAAATATCTTGGATAGATTGCAAAAGTTTAGTTTTTCTTTGTTTACTGTCTTCTGTTTTACTGTTACTGATTCTGACTCTGCTAGAAATTCATAAGCCATGAATGATCAGAATAACGATATACTGATGCCAAAGTGCTAAAGCATTATTTCTTGCTTTCTTTGTTTTTTAGGGTTTGTTTCAGGATAAATTTTATTAATAAGGTTGTCTAAACTCATCGTTCTAGAACTTCTAGTCATATCTAATGTTGAATTTTTTTTTTTAGAGATGACAGTGTTGGAGAAAAAAATCTCTGGTTCGGTTGTTGCGGAGTTATATTTTTCTTTTCCATTATAAGCATACTCGCTTTTCCTAACGGGCCATTCACAAGACCTCATCCTGCGGTACGACTTATTTTGTATATTTAGAAAGTTTAGGTCTTGATCACTATGTCTTCGATGATAAAATGTTGCGATTTTGATACATATTTTGCCACGGTTAAAATACAATAAGTCTACACAGACTATATTAAATAGGCTACTGCAATAAATTTTTAATTCCAACCATATGCTATAAATATGACTTAATTGTGTTTCAAGTACTTCGGCACAGTTTTTGTGGTTTAAATCACACAGAAAATTAAACATTTTTTAAAAATCTTTACATTTGTTACTATTTTTCAGATATGGAGAGTATTTTTTGGATTCAGCGTCTTGTATTTATTATTTCTTGTCTTTACGTTGTTTTTAAACTTGGGTCAAGTCAAAATGATAATGTATTGGTTGGACCCAGAGGTTCGACATGCCAAAAGGGAGGTTGACACCGTGGAGGTAAATAATAAACTTGAACATGGTAAAATCATTTTATATAATAAACATAATGAATTTGATTTAGTTATTCAATAATGAAGATAAATGCAATAGAATTATATCTGATTCCAATATTCATTTTAATCAATGTTCAATTAACATAGAATAGTAGATGTTCTCATTCCCAGTAAAATAATGTACAATGAACCTTTTCTATTTACAGGAATATGCAGTCAATTGCTCTGATGTAAGTTTGGAACGAATATATTCTAGTCTGGATGTTTTTGCATTTGGTCATATTGCTGGTTGGGCATTGAAGGCTGTTCTTATTCGAAGCTACAGCATGTGTTGGACCATAAGCATCATGTGGGAACTCACAGAAGTATGTTTTGTTGTTTTACAAATTAAGAAGTGAGCTTCATGCTGAAGTTTATGTTGTCCACTCAATATTTACTAAGGGCTGTTTATGATCAATTTGATTCGTTGAATGGTTTCTTCCCGCTTTCACAAACAGCAAAAAATGTTTATTTCCTAAATTCGTGACAATTCCTGGTGAGGAAATTACTGTCAATCAATCACTGTATGGTTACTGCAGACTGAAATGTAACTAAATTCAAGAAGGGGCTTTATCTCAACTCTCTTCTGGTATTTGGTTAGCTGTGACCTGCTATTCATACCTATCTTGCTTAATTAATGTCACTTGTCATGTCACTAAATCAATTCATTCCGTATTGTGATTCCATTGATGAATGTAGATTATTCGCATGAAATAAAATATGTATATAATACCAGTATATGGATAAATTTTGATCATTTTCATAAGCCATCACTAACATAAAGATTTATGTTTATTGTTTGCTATTTCAAACTACTCTTTGTAGATAGGTAAATGTGTGCATCAAACATGAATGATGATGAAATAATCAGGGAATATATATATGACATTGACATTAGTGATAAATTTCTTATCATTGTCTTTTAGTTATTCTTCATGCATTTGCTGCCAAATTTTCAAGAATGTTGGTGGGACCAACTTCTGCTTGATATTATGTTATGCAACGGAGTTGGAATATACATCGGCATCAAAACTTGCAGATTTCTTGAAATGAGAGAGTATCGATGGGAGTCTATAAAGTATGTGATCTCCATCCATATGATAAGATTTATATTATCTGCATTGTTTACTCACTGAAAATCATGTTGTAGCTATCAATTTTATCTACATTATGTTTGTATTAATTATTCTAATTGAACGCACATGTTATATACAAAATATTCTTGTACTAGTACAATTTTCTAAACAGTTATAAAAATAGAAAGAAATCAACAAAAGTAGTATATGCTTAAAACTTTGATGTTTAATGAAAAGATTTTTATATGTTATCCTGATATTTGTTTACATTAGAGACATTCATACCACCACTGGAAAACTAAGGCGTGCAGTTCTCCAGTTCACTCCAGCCAATTGGTTTCCAGTTCGTTGGCTTGATCCTGAATGTCATTTTATGAGAGTTCTTGGTGTTTATATCCTCATGATAATATGGCAGGTGTGCATCATTATTAGCAAGAATTAATTATGCATTATATGGAATATAATTTTTTACAAGAATCTTCTATTCTATCTTAAGGGTTATATATTTTCCTATTATTTTCCTTCGTTTCCTGATTTTAGAAATACTTCCAAGTTGGTCCATTTTGTGGAAAACTTTTTGCTATCTTTTAAATTGTAACTATGGTACATACATTTCAGTTTGATTCTCAATTGAATCATTAGTTTGTCGTTAGGCGACATGTAACGGAAGATAAGAAATGAATCACCAATGATTAATCATAACACATAAGTTAAATTTCATATCTTTTGGTGTTCATGTATCTTATGCTGACCATAAACTTTGTTTAAAGATGGCAGAGCTTAACACATTTTTCTTGAAACATTTTCTTCGATTTCCTGCCAGTCACATCTTTTGCTGGGGTAGGATTCTCTTGATTGGAATAATTACAGCACCGGCTATCAGGTATGCAATAATTAGTGTTTTAACATTTTTTCATAATTCATTACCGGTATGAAAATTCTAAATGGTTCCATGGTGTAGCATCAATCTTGAATTCATGGGAAATTGTTTTCTGGGGTCGTCATTGTTTATCTATATATCAATTTTTATCTATATCAATAGCTGTAAACTTTTTATTGTTATCTTATTATATCTACAAACCATCATTTACATTGCAGGCAATATTATGTGTACATTACTGACAAAAGATGCAAAAGGGTTGGGAACCACACATGGGTTTATGTGTAAGTTTTATTGCTAATTTGCTATTTGTGTGCTGTGTTTCAGTCATGAAAGAAAATCTCTTGTCTACTCAACTAATATGGTCCAGATGCATTAACTTGAATGGTAGCGAAAACAAAAAGGTCGGAGTCTAGAAAAACTCCAGCACATAATCATCCCACACCAGATTCAAATCTGTGAACCCAAATAATATAATCAGTGCCATATTATCAGCACTCACTGTGTAAAACTATGACACACTGCTAGACTGCAGTCCTAAACAAGTCAACCATCATGTTCTAAATTAAAGTAAATTGTCATCATTTTTTTATAGTGCGATCATGTGTCTAGAAACGATTATTTCATTAAAATTTGGAGCTGAGGAATTTACCAGGACACAAATGCTCAACATTGCTGGATGGTTGGTTGTCATGGTAAGTATTCAAATGACCGCAAAACTTAGGCACAAATTTTGTATCATATTATACGTTTACCCTTTTTACAGCTGCTGCTGACATTGTTGAGTTTGTATGTTATGTTGCTACTGTCAAAACTGGGAATTGGTAAGGTAGGTCATTTGTATTTTGTTAAAAATTAATAAGTTGGTTTTTGTGGCCGAGTTTGTTTTAAAAGTAAGTACCAAATTTCAGTCTGTTCGTAGTTCATCTGTTCATAATTTTCTAATTGAAAAGATGGAGACATAAAATTTTTTTCGTTGCATCAATTTTCTATCGGTCCGTTTTTAGGATCTTTATGGCATCAAAGCTCATTTAATCTTTGAAGTAATAGCATCATGCCAAAAACAACTAGGCAACTGCAGATTCTGACTTTGAATTCTCTGTGCTTAATGTAGCTAGAATTTCATGACACGTATTATGATTTTACAACATGTTTATAACCTTGTGTTATTCCAAAGCCCACAAGTTCACAACAAGTTTGATATGATATAGTGAATAGTCATACCTGTCTTGGTTACATGTTGTTAATATGCATGCTGCGGCCTAATTTTTAAATGTTGTTTGAATTCTCAAGGATGTTGAGGTATATGATGGAGAATTATCTGGACCGGAATTTCCAAAGACTGAAAGCAGTTGTGCAAGTAGCAGTGAAGGTGCAGATGAAGAAAATGAATCTGAATCAGAAAAGAGAACAGTTAAAAACAACTCAAATGGTCAAGGCAAAACTTACTCTCTGAGAAACATAACGAAGCGGCAGAACTTCAGTTCTGCTGTAAGTCATGCCAGGTTTGGAAAATAATAAATATTGCTCACAAAATCGTATACATTCTTCAAAATATGCAGACTCCACACAATAATTACCTAAAGAGCTGACTTGATCTTGTTATCGTTTCGTTAAATTCTCGTCAGATTTGTCGGTTGGACATAATCATTTCTACTTTGATAAGTTCTATTTTCTACATTTCTTGTTTCATGATATAGTATCGGAATGACCAACATGCAAAACATCATTCATTATTGCTTGTTTTCAACTTTGACAATAATAGTAGGTGTAAAAACTAGGGCTGGGAATGGTTAATCTGTTAACCGATTCTAGATGGTTAAAGGTTACGATTTATTTTAACCGTTAACTGACATCTCAGGTGCAAATCATCTTTATAATGTACAATTTCTTCAGAAATGATTACTTCATCGCAAATTTATCTCTTGTAGCGCTTAATTTAAAAGAATATCACTAGCTGTATTTGTAATCTAAAGACCCAATAAATGTGAAAAATAATTGAAGTACCAAGATTGCTGATTATGAAAATTTGACAATGATAAATTCATGATCAGTTTTCGGTAAAAGCATATTCTTTGGTAAAAATATACTGTTTTCTTGCAAAATCGTCTATTCAATGTGCGCAGTTGATGCTGTACGAAACGATCCAGATTGGTCAATAATTTCGAGAGATTCCAGAATAAGATCACTCGAAATTAATTTGTAACCATTGTGACGTGATAAGCTAAAATACCAAATTATTACGTCAATTATAGCCCTGCGGTTAACTGGTTAATTTTCCCCGGTTAAAGTGTTTTCCTGAAATTCCCAGCCCTAGTAAGAACACATTAGTATTGCCACATTAGATTGGTCGATCATATAGTTATTTCTGGTATCAAGGGAGTGAACAACTGATTTTTGATTTTTCAAACCTCTTTGTTGATGAATATTTATTTAATTTATTAATAATTTTTCGCGATTTTGGGATCCAAATTTTTCAATATAGACTCAATATTGCAACATACCCTCTAACAAATCTCTTTCTTACCCATTTAATTATCGGTACCAAAGCTATCAAACCACCTTTGTTACACATGACAACGATTGTTTTTTTATACATTTATCATCTTTTATTGCATTTCGATTTTCTTCACTGGTGTACTTTTATATCATGATTTGTACACAACTTCAAAATGTCTGAAAACTACCTCCTACAGAGAGGACACTGCTCGGGTACTTTAAGAAGTATACTCATCAGTAGTGTTCAGAAAAAAAAAAACAATCATGGTCGTTTATCAATTATCCCAGGGGTCGGCCACCTACGGAGCACTATAACCCGCCCCGCGACGCTTCACTAAATTATAGTAACAAAACATCCGTTTTGACGAATATATTCTTTAGACTAAATTATATTATAACCTAACAATTATATATTTCACAATTACTCGTGTAATGAGCATATAATTTAATAATAATTAAGCAAATGGCAACAAAACGCAGAAAAGTTGATGCTAAGTGCAGAGGGTTCAATGCCGCTGAAAGTATTCAAATGGAATTTTATGAGATGCAATGAGGAAATAAATCCATATTCTATTCGAGAAATGTATCACTGCTTGATTTTTAATATAAAAAGTACCATCCGTTTGGTTTTTCAACTTTCTAAAAATACGTGCGGCCCGCCAATGACTTGCAACCTTAATTTTGGCCCGCGAGCGACAAAAGGTTGCCGACCCCTGATTAAGCCTTTCGTTTCAAGTATTTTTTTCATATTGCATATTTACTACTGATTTGTAAGCAAATAAGTTTGCTGGGAGTATGTGATGTATTTTCGAACATCTGATGATTTCAGAATCGAATATTTTTCGAATCTAATCTCGAATACTTGGAAGATGTTGAGCTTATTATAACGTCATTGTATGCGACTTTTTTATTGTAATGGGTCCTCCATACACATAAATCAATGAAAACATAAAATCCATCACCCAGTCAGTTCGCGGAGTTGCCACATACAATAGGAAACGTGTTTCATGGATAGGAAGAAAACAGTCGTATGTCGGATTTGCATTTCTGAAAAATGACTTCAATAAAAAAATTGAGCAGTTCACTGAAATAGCAGAATGGCGGTGATTCGAAATTTCTGTCTGGACCGATTCGAATAATTTACTATTCGATTCGAAATGACCAGCCCAAGTATTAATAGGCGCTTTCGTACTGTGGTATTCTCACCCCGAATACATGAAGCAATTTATATGGAAATATTGGTTTCATTTTTTGCTTTGGCCCAGCATTGAATATAGGGTACTTTGTTGAGTAGTTTACACTGGAATTTTGTACAGTACAATGCCGAAAATACCAGATCATTACAAAAATCTTTGAAAAGAAAAGATTTGGCGTGCACGGCTCGATAATCAAAAGCTAAGGAAATATGCAAAAAGCCCGGACGCCAGATTGTTACAAACCCAATTCAAAGTTTGAAATGTATATGCGAATTCAAATGTTGAGTGGTATTTATTGGTTTTAAATATGTATTTATAACGGGAGCAGGTATAATTTAGATGACCTGAAAGGAAATCAGGCGCTTGAATGTGAGAGGCGGACGCGTAAAATAAAAATGACATTCAATTTATTTTGTGTTTACATACGCGGCAGGGTTGGCCGTGGTGGTGGGATTCCGGTTTTTCACGTAGTTTCGCAATAATCAACGAACCCCCTCCTTGTTTTTCGGACGTAGGACGACCGCAGTAAATGGGGAAAGTGCACAGCAGCTGGTGACTAGCGTTTTGAAGTTATGTATTAGTTTTATTTGACACGTTAGCGGGCTTTATAGTTCCAAGGCTTATAAAAGCGAATAGAAGAGTATTCCCGCGGTTCGCTGATGTATAACTAGAATGTTAGTTACCAATTACATGCCATTGTTAGCGAATGTACACCATCACCGGGTTGGAAAGAAGATTTAATCACTGAACGTGACATCCTATGGATTATCCTTAAGAAAGTAATTGCTGCGGTTCTCAACAGAATAATTTCGTGTTTTATAAAAAGCATTAGCCTACATTCAATTTAAGTCCATGCATCTGAAACAAATAACTGGCTGACTAATCCCTAGTAACCGGACGAGAGGACTCTGTTCGCCATATGATTAGGTCGTTTTATCGACATGGGATAAATATGTAAATCCAATATATACACATAACAATAGGGAACTAAGATAGTGCTCTGGCGTAGAATCTGCTATGCTAGGAATATCTGCAGTAAGATATTGATCGTCTTTAGGCGACTGCATTTTGATCTGGACACGCGACGAAAACCAGGTCGTAGATTTGATAACCTATGCAAATTTACTACTTATATACTACGATAAAGCGATTCGACAGGCTACGGCCTGAGACGCGAAATCTCATATCACAGTGAATTAATTGTAAACTGAAATTTTCAATAAGGAATCGGACTACAACAATATTTTTAAAGCGGCAAAAGAATTGTCCAGAGAATTCCCTTTAACAAAACACAAAAATGACAACTGTATTCTAGCTATCCGTTTTCAGCCCAGCGAATCTAACTTCGCAAAGATTTCGTGAACTACCAATATTATATTATACTATAGAATAATGAGACTGTATAGGGATATTAGTTATTTAGACCATATTTTTAACAGTAAGAAAAAAAGTAATTCCCAGTAGGACAAGATTTCTTCTTAAAGATATTTACGTTAAATACTTAATTGGCTTTCATAGGAATAACCCGTTAGTTAAAAACACGATATCTTGCCCTTAAGCAAAATAAACTTGTAAAATCCTGTTTTTAATCACTCGACCACTTATAGCTAACTATTTAATTGGCTACAGACATTCTTCTAAATCGTTTTACAAGAATTGCCGAGACTTAATTACGGCATTCTTACTTTATTTATTATAAACGATATCCACGTAAAAGCTAAACCCTAAAGGCATAACAGGCGTCTCGACTATTGTATATAAACGGACAATAATTCTTTAAATTAATTCACTGGTTTTGATCGTTTATCTATATTCTGCTCTGTGTTGTCAATACAAGAATTATAAGGTTGGTGACTTTGTATTATATTCGGTGTCTGCTGGGTTCAGCTCTGCCCTAACAGAAACAGAGAGAATCGTGTGCTGGGTTAACAAATATTAACCGGTTCCTATAAAATTGGTGAGACCCCGACTGAGAATTGTGCCTATCTGAGAGGAGTCAGATTTGCTGCTGTTGTGCCAACGGAGATCAACAACATCTACGGAGGAACAAAAGTTAAGTAATATTCACGATTCCTACTAACCTAAGCGTATAGGGGCCATTAGCTAAAAATAATCGCCAATTTTTCTTCCCAGTGCGGACGCTAAAAAACGAACAAAGAACGAGATGACAATGCATTAAAGATAAACAACAGTTGAACAATGGTAGACGGCTATGGAACGACAAAACGATGAATCTTGACGATGGCTAACGGACAAACGAAACGAACTTTTAAAAAATTATGAGGTGAAAAATCAACGAAAAATAATCAAAATGATGAAATAATGAATCAACTACAGACGAAGGGACTTTTCAAAGAAATACGGTACATAAAACGCGCCCAAACAAATTATTTAACGCGACAAATGACGAAAAGAATGACAAACGTAACAATATGTTATTTTCATGCTCATAATTTTGTTTTATTTTATCAGTGCAGATTTTTCATCTTGTTGGGACACGCTTCATACTTCTCCTATTCTTAAGGTAAAATTCTTCAATTTCTCTCTGGCGTTTTAAAATTCGGCTTCCAATTTTTATGAATTCATTGAAGGTAGGGTAATTCGGATGTTTATTTAAGTGGCATAAAATCATTAGGCCAAATGATTGTCCAACATAAGTAAATGTTTAGTTACGAATGGTTTTCATAAAATTCATAAAGAATGTAAATTTGACGGTCATAAACAACCCCATTTTCGATAGAATATGTTTCTAAATCACTGGCAACCTTTTAAAAAGATGATTTAAATATAATCATACTTTAATCTCGCCAATATATTCGTCTAATACGAATATATTGATCAAATACATAAACTAAGCGCATTTTTTTCTCAACGCCCACAGAAGGCTATTTTTTTTCAAAGCGCTTCAAACCCAACAAGGGATATCAAGGCTAGCTAAGCCATTACTTGCGAGTTGTAAGGTTAAGGTGTGATGAAATATGTTAAATTGAAATCACTGTTTTGACTGTCAACATCAAATTTAAAACTATAATACGCCAATCTTTTCTAAAAGCTTCTTTCCACTTTTCTAATTACCTGTTCTTCATGCCTCTTCTCTGTCCCATTAAATTTTTCAATTTCAGTATATATATTAATGTGTATCCGTATAATCATGAATATTTTGTTTATTACTTGAAGTATTAATGACATTGAAAAAAATAACTCAATTTTAAATCTAGCTAATTCGGAAATAAGTTGAAAATTATCATAAAACTTTCCATATTATTACAAATCAAATTATTATTTTATCAGCCGGGATAACCTTAATTTCACTCAAGTTATTTTGTTATAATTTCAGTGTAATCTTACAATCATTATTTTTTCGTTATTATTTTGTAGAGATCTGTACAATTTTTGACACGTTTGTTATGCCGAAACCCCGAACTCCGTTCTTTAGGGCCGAATTATATAGGGATATTAGTTATTTAGACCATATTTTTAACAGTAAGAAAAAAAGTAATTCCCAGTAGGACAAGATTTCTTCTTAAAGATATTTACGTTAAATACTTAATTGGCTTTCATAGGAATAACCCGTTAGTTAAAAACACGATATCTTGCCCTTAAGCAAAATAAACTTGTAAAATCCTGTTTTTAATCACTCGACCACTTATAGCTAACTATTTAATTGGCTACAGACATTCTTCTAAATCGTTTTACAAGAATTGCCGAGACTTAATTACGGCATTCTTACTTTATTTATTATAAACGATATCCACGTAAAAGCTAAACCCTAAAGGCATAACAGGCGTCTCGAATATTGTATATAAACTGACAATAATTCTTTAAATGAAATGGACTGGACTGAACGTGTTATAATATTCTTCTTGTGTCGTCTAAATACAACAAATATAAGGTTGGTTGCTTTGTTACTATTCGTGTCTGCTGGGTTCAGCTCTGCCCTAACAGAAACAGAGAGAATCGTGTGCTGGGTTAACAAATATTAACTGGTTCCTATAACTGAAAAACTTTTCCCCCAAACTTTAAAAATATCCCACAAAAAATGCAACAACATTTCGAAGCAGACTGGTTAAACCAGAGACAATGCATAACATCATGTAACATTTATGGTTAAACCGCTAAATCAAAACAAGCCAGAATCGCCTAGAGAAGTACAATCAAGCTTTTATAAATGCAGTTGAAATCATGCACCGCCAAAAAAGCATTGACCACATCACTTAGTTCATAAGTTAAAAGGAAATGTTTCAACTTATTGTTGGCTGTTGAGGAAAAGGTTTTCTCTGTTATTAAAAGACGACGAATGCAACAGCAGCGTCAATCCGTTAAGTCTTTGTCAAACACTTCAACGAGACAATATGTGACGCATATTTCACGTTTTTATTATCATATTTCAACGTTACGGTGCATGGACTGTCTAAATCAGGGTGGTTCAAACTCAGGCCCGTGTGCCTCATGTGGCCCGCAGAGAGAGAGAGAGAGATTTTATTTCCACAAAACAATGTTAAAAAAAAAGGACAATAATACAGATTTTCATGAAAATATAGTGCAGTGGAAGTTTAAACATTGAATTGTGATGGTCAGTATGCAAGACCTTTTTATTTACGCTGTGATCAAACTGTCAGCATGGATTATCACAATATGAAATTATAAAACAAAGACAGAAAAATGAATGAATGAGTCGGCTGATAAAAAAATTTTCTACTATTCAACACTTTACATTTGATTTATTGTATAGTTCAGAGGGCATGTGTAAAAATTGTATATACATTATACTACACTTTAATCAAGTGCAATACTGATTCCATCTACAGAAACTGGTTCCGTATAGAAAAGAGAGAGATATTTGTCATTATGTCAACCAAAATGCAACCAGTCAACTTCGCAAAAAATTTTTTTTGCAAAATTAAAATTGCTTAGGTATGAACAGAGAAGGAGCGATACGACCATGCGGTATGCGGTCATAGAAGTCAACTCCTACCTTATTTGCTGATGTGATTATGGTTCACATTGAAAATGGCTATTAGAAAAGTTGTCTGGAAAATA